TCGGCACAGTTTAACACAATGTTCAACACAATGCACTTACAGTGCTGTAGACGTTCGTTAAACAAATATGTTTGCTCTTAATTAACCACTGTATCAAAATCAAAATCACTCAACTGCCGGAGTAAGCCCACGGGCCTGGCTGATCTTTTGCTGCAGGCGTGCTTTTCGAACTTGCCTTAGTTCGGAATCCGAAAGCTAGACAAAGCGATGAGAAGCAAGCACAGCAGCAGCATACAAGCAGCAGCCCGAGATGATCACTCACCACGACGTCCGAGACGACTTCAACCAATCGCCCGTTCGCCATCGTTCGTCGTCCGGGTCCACACGGCGCGAGGTGCTGATCGTAAATGGCGCCCTCTTTCAGCATGTGCCACTTGAAGCCGGGCAGGTAGCCTGGAAACGACTCCGCGGAGGCTGGACAGCCTGCAAGAAATGGCCAACATCTGAAGAGGGGAAAACGGATCTAAAGGTGAGCACATCTTCACGATCTTCAACTTCTGAATGGTTGGAGGCTACATGAGTCCATCTGGCTTGAGATCACTCTTCTCGAATCAACTGCGCAACCCAACCCCGGCGCAGAAACGTGCCAGAAACGGATACACAAACAGCTCACCTGGCGGATTCACCTGGCGCTTCTGCCAAGTGGCGCATGTTCCACATGTCGTCACGAAAGAAGTTGTGCCGCTTCTTCCTCAGTGGCCAGGATGCAGACCACCCCGGTTCAACCGCACCCTTCGACATCCACCACAGTCGTCAAGGCACCCAAGGCACTCCATGCTCATTCCATGGTCCTTCCTGGGTCCTTCCGTGCTTTGAGCCAGGTGACCCTCCAATGGTGCTCCCATGCAAGGTGGCAGCAACCCGCTTGGCGATGCGACGATCCATGAACCTCATCAATCCAACTGCTTGCTGGAGTGAGGCTGGTCGGGCTGGATGTGTCGGTTGAGCTTCAGAAGGAACAAAGAGGGGCTGGTTCATCTCCAAAGTACTTTTTAAGGTTTCCCTGCCCCATAAAGAATTCACCACGGTGTCCTGCTATGAAATGTTGCCAACCATCCACATTGGTACAAGTATGTGTGAGTAGTTGGCGGGTCAAACCGTGCAAGATGACGAGGGTCTTCAGTGTTGAACGCCTCACGCGGAAAGCCCCTCCCGAAGCAAGTGGGTGACCTTCTCTGATGTGCCTTTCGACTCCGTGATGGACAGTAGTTAGTCGACTCCCTGCGAGTCCGAGATGCAGCTTTATGCCGCTTTGATGTGAGAACCCCAGGAGATGGCAACCTACCTAATCACTTGTGGATTTCGATGCATCAGTCAATCCATCTAAACTCTTAACTGTTTCTTGTCCAGTGAGGTGCCGCGCACGCCATACGTTCAGACGGTCTCTTCTCAGCTCGGCTCCAAGTGGCTCGACCCAGCCTTCGGTGTAGCGCACCTTTCGGTTGCCGCCCGCGCGCTTGCGACTCCTCGGGAGTCAACGAATGTACCCAGACACTCCATGGGACTGCCATAGGACTGCCGATCAGGCCAGGGGTGGTTTGGGGGGTCAATGTAGGCATATATATTCCATATATGGAGTGTATGGGATATGATGACAACCCCTCGCCTCCAATGGTTTACGTGCTTATTAAGATCTTCACAAAAAGGACGTTTCTGTTCTTCGTCTAGTGGCCTGTCATGAACTCTTACCAAGGAAAGATTCTTTCTGGGACCCTGGTGTTCGAACCTCAAGTTGGAAGCCCGCCAAGAAATGACCCCGAGCTGCACACATGAGCTCTATGTATCTCCCTCCCAAGCCGCCCAGCTGTGCTTGCCAGGCATCATCTGCTTCCTCTTCTCCTGGAACAAGGGTGCAACATGGTCCAGCTAAACAAATGTGTTCAGGATTGCATAAAGTGTCATCCATTCTCATCATCTTGGCATCCAAAAATGCCTTCGTTTGTTTGTCCATATAGATATATATAACTATATTTTAAATATATATATATATGTATATATCACTATATATGTCCTCAGTATGTCGGCCTGGGGGTTCCCCCGATGGGCTACAAAAGCTGCAACTTGCCCGGACATCTCTCCGATTGAACTGCAACACCTCACGACACCGACACCAACTCAAGAGGATGTGAGGATCCGGATGTGGCTGCACAGGAGGTGTTGGTCAATTCGACCAACCCCAAGAAGGTCAACACCCAGCACCTCGGAGGTGCAAGAACGTCAAGAACCCCTTTTATCGGCTCCTCAGGTGCCAGGTAGACGCGTCCCACTTCCCCAAACTGCTCCATGAGATGTCGCAGCTTCTGAAAGCCCATCACCAGTGGGATGGAGGCCAAGTGAATCACACCTCTCCTGGACGCATGGAAGCCACGTACAGGGTCCCATCGACCGAATTCGGCTGGCCGGACACCTGCGAGTTCCAGATCTGATCCATCACGACAGGTCAAAACTCGCAGCCTTGGGGTCCTCATGAACTGAGCCTTATATTCTATCAGTTAGTAGTCAGTTAGTTATAGTTATCATATGTTATCATCATGCTTCTAACAGGCCTTCTGCTTCTAAAAAAAGACTGATGCTCCACCCAAAAACGTCCAGATCCCGTCCGGCTCAGCGTCCGCTCCTGTCCACCTTCGCCGCCTCGCCGCCTTCGGCCTCCGCGGCCTCCGCGGCGCCGCGGCGCCTCTTCGGCGGAGGCGCCTCGCGCGACGGCGCGCGGAGGTGCGCGGCAGCCGAAATCGGTGAAGACCGATTAAGCGGCCGACGACGACTTCCCTATAGGAAGAGAAGTATTGAAGTATTTTGAAGTACATTATATAATAAGTCGCAACTTTAAATGCAGTTAGTCAGTTGCTCAGATTGTACATGCAATGGGCCTGGCACCAATTCCAGAGACAATTAATAAGCCTGACAACTTGATGAGCAGCTGAGTCACTTTGGCGGGAGCTTTCTCTTCAGCTTTCTCTGGCACCTCAAGTTTCTTTCGTCTACGTCTTGGGGTGTTGGATGGTGTTGAAGTGGCTCATGCTAGATACCAGTCTGCTTGGTGGTTTCAACTCGCTTGAAACATAGGTGTCAGTCGGTTCAATCATCCCCAAGTAAAGGTTGGAAACAACAATATCTAAAACCACCACCCAGCAGTTCTTTGACTCAGCATATGCCATCATATGCATTCATATGCCTATGTTTGAGCCCCAATGAATTTCTGAAAATGAGCCCAGCCGCCCAAATCACAACGGGCAAAGTAGAATCCAAAACATCTCAAAACCCAGCGAGGGCCTGTGCGGCCCAGGGCATCTCCCAGCCCCCGAACGAAGGCACGCTCGAACCAGGTACAGTAGCCAACAGCCACGTGAACTTTTCAGAACTGATGGCATAAGTATGGCATCTCCACTGGCATCTCCCTATGTCAAGTGGCCAGCTCTTCAGTTGCGATGCTTTCAGCCACCACGCCACTTGGTGCGTCTGGCTCCTGTCAAAATGATGCATTCAAGCCAAAACAGTCTTGCCCCTTGCACCGGCCAATCTCAATCTTGTGCCGTCCCACTCAGGACCTCTCTCTCTCCATCGTCATCCCTGGCGTTCAGCCCAGCTAAAGGCGAGCAGCTGGCCCGCTTGAGTCCATTTCTCCTTTGACCACCGCTGCCAGTGCAGTGTCTCCCTATTCCATGACTGAACCCACATGGGAACCTAAACTCACGCACCGAAGACACCACAAATTTCGGCACCTAAACTCCATCAATCATTCATGAACCTCTTGACCACTCTCTATGGGGAACTGGTGCCAGTAGATGAACCTTGGCGCTACAAAAGCCTTTGGGACTCCCAAGACTCTGGCTCCGTGGCTCGCAGACGGTCCATCTGTCGGACTCCTGCGCTTTGACACACTTGGCTTTCCGCTTCTTAAGCTTTTTGGGCGCCATGGCTCAGGTCGTGATGGGTTCGATGTATTTCGTGGGAGGCGAGTGTTTCACTACTTGCGCCATGTTTTTCGAAGCGGTGGGGGACTCAGAGCCGTGTTAAATGGAAGTGATCCAGTACTTCTTGCTGTCTTCCAGGTGGCACTCGGTTTTAATGATGCTGGGGGAAGGTATGCTGCATCCACCAGCTCTTCCCAAGACAGCACATTAGTGCCGCATCATGTGAGTTTGGGATAGTAACTTGTAGTTCGTTCACTGCAAAAAGGTGAAGATGATGTAACAACTTGCCACGAGTCATGCCTGCTTACCTATAGAATTGATTCAAGACTAAAGTGTGCTTAACACAAGTTGAGAAGTGAATGCTTGGCTTGAGCCCAAAGACACATCGAAACACGTGAGCGAATTGCCTGTGGCAAGCAAACCAACAGCCCCCCCAATGACCAACAAGTCTTGAAGACTCTAGGGATCTCCAAGACTCTAGGGCTGGGCACCTAGCGACCCTCACGATCGAAAACTGCAGGATCGATCTGTATCCTCCAAACATCCAACCAAACCAATGATTGGGCCGACATTGGGCGTCCTTTTACCGGGAATGGGACAAAACCTGGAGCCCCAACACCATGTAGCTTGACTCACAGCCATACAATTATATACCATTTGTGAGCAGGTGTTTGCAGTTGGTAGTGAACCTTGGACGAGCTAAACAAAGGGACGAGCTGTTGCTTCTTTCCTGCATGTTCAGACACTTTATATGGTGCTAGCATGTGCTAGCTGCTAGTGGTTTATAGTGGTTTCGCTGCAAACTTCCTTTCCCATCCCCAGGTCTTCTCCACACCTTCCAGGAACTCCGCCGCCCGCATGGCGGCAGTGCCGACATGATTTCGGGCATCGTGGTGGAAGGCCTGGCAAGGACAGATCGCATGTGACCTCCCAAGCAAGGGTGTGCCCAAACTGACCCAAACCTCAACCACAAGCGTCAGAGGGAAGATCAGCTCACGAGAATATGGCTGCACTAGGCACTAACGAGCCGATCTATCCAGCCGATATTGGTGCTGGCGGTCGGATGCAAGCATATGCAAGCTACTCTTTTCACACCGCAATATGCCAGCAAGACTGTGACTCGTGCTTTGCCTGTCAGAAAGCACGCACTTGTGAATACCTTGTGGCCATGCTGTGACATGTTTCATAAACCCTCACGTCGGCCAGCGGACATCCTTCACTCAAAACAACGTCAGCATGTGCAGAACTTTGGCATAAACTTCGCCATACCTGAGCGCCGCGGTTGATTTTGTTGCGGCTCATGCTCTTGCAGTGTAGGAGTTGAAGGTGGTATTTCAAACATCGCCTGTCCTAGCGTGATTTCTCTTCCAGTGCAGGGCCCAGGACGTGCTGCGTGTTTGTCCAGTTGGTGGAGACTGGAGGCCAGGGACACGAACACCCCCCTGCTGGATTTCGCCACCTACATCCACTGGTGATAGAATCCCCCTGGTCTCAAACCTCTTGGGAGAGGGGTGGCTATTCATCAAGTTTAACCATCTAATTCTCGACTCTAGACTTCAGGATGAAATCCAACCTTTGCCAGGTTGCAAACGCCATCAATGTTGTAGTTGTGGCTCTTTGCCACGCTGGGGAGGGGCTTTGTTGAAATCAGCTGCTGCTGCATGGATGTGAGCTCCTGCGCTGTTGCCAGCTTTGCTTTCCTTGCAAGAGCAACATGTGCGCATTTGGCGGAAACAATACCTGTGAGAGTCCAGCGTCCTGTTCCCAACTACGAGTTCGGTTTCAGAAGAGGGTCCTAAAGAGAGAAGGGTGTGGCAAAAGGAACCGTCAAAGTTGGAGGAAAGCGTCTTGTAGAGAGCTACAGAGACCTGTGCATCCCAGGCAGGGTCGTGGGCTCCGCGTGCCGTCTTGCCCAATAGAACCCGGGCTTCATGCTGGAGCGAATGCACCGAGTAGTTCCCATATCGGGCGTTGTAGCCTTTGAAGATTTCGCCAAGATCCACGACCTGAAGCTCAGTGGAGATATGGGGTGTGGGCACCAGCCTGCTGCATTTCAATATCTGACTCACTGAGTTTCCACATGTTCGTTTTTTTGGGTGGGGAGTGGGGAAAACCACTCCCCCCAAAAAAGGCTAAGGCTAAAGGTTATCCACTGGGTACGGCTGGGTATTTCAATGTCTCACTTAATTTGTTGTGTCTTCTGAGCATGGAGCTTCTGCGAAATCCACACCCTTCTCAAGCATCATCCACTCAATGTCGGACGCACAACTTTGTCCAACCAAGACAGCATCTGCTGGTAGGAGCCGCTTCAACTTTGCCACGGCCTGGGGAGCAAGACGTGGAAGACATGTTGAACCCGCACAACTCTTCACATGCACTGACATGAAATGAACTGACAAGCATTGAAATCATTTGAAAGCTATACCTCCTCCCAGTCCCGCTCCAGTCCCACTCGGCAGTCGACACTCAGCCCACCAGGCCATATCCCCAAAGCGCCCCGAAAAGGATGACTTGTTTTTGATGGCCTCATTCAAGGAGATGCCCTTGTCCAAATCAGCTTTGGTCACACCAGTGAGGGGAGTCAAACAGCTGATAATCGGTTTCTCGGGCTTGATGATCTCCTCCGAAGGCACGTCAACTGGAGGGGGAGGGGCTGTTCAAACCTGAGGCTTGACAACGTCCGGTTTCATGGCATCATGGAGAAACAAAATGCATCCAGAATCACAACGCATCCCAAGGTTTCATGTACTGCGTCTCGCACCAATCGCATTGTTCTTCGCCTTGAGAAGAACCTCCTCTTGTCCATTCACAAGGGCCACCGAGCATGGGCTGCGCGCTGATATGTCATGGCTGCGGCCAATGGCCACGCACTCCACATCCACACAAAAGACCTTGCCAACGTTGGTGAAAAACAAGTTCAGTTCGCACTTCCACCCGAGGAGCAGTAGAAATTTGTGGCCAAAATGGGGGGAGAGCTGAGCTCCCACCATGCGAGCCATTTTTGGATCCTGGTTCTCCAATAGCATGATTTCCAAAAAACACATTAGCACCTGACCATCGATCGGCCACGGCCGGCCTTGTCCCATCGGCTCCTTCTCGGGCTTCGCGATCGACCACGGGCCATGGCGAAACTGCTCACGAATCTTGGGCCGATGAAGTTCTGTTACTGTTCCAGTCGGTGGACGCCAGGAGTGGTTCGTTTCATGGCCCCTTGTGTCTTCATAGGCCCAGTTGGTAAAATCATATTGTAGCTACTAATTATTGTACTTAACTGCCACCATGTACAGCGAGGTACATCTCATGTTCATCTCTTTTTCACCCTCATGCGGCGCGCACGCGGCTCGTCTCGCGCGTACGCGGCTCGGGGCGCGCACCTGGCTGAAGGCATCGCCCACCCAAACCAGGTTGGCCGCTGCTGGATCTGCGCAGGGAGCGAGAGTGGCAGTCCGGCTGGTGAGATCGGCGAGCCATCGTTTGTGCCGTGCGGGTGAAGGGTTGAATTGATCCAGCGCAGCAGAATCATCATTGGATTCAACTAGATTTCACTGTGCTGTTTGATCAGGTCTTGCAATTCCTTTTCTTCTGCGCTGCCTCCTTCAAAATATTTCAGGATGCACAGTTTTGGAGTCTCCACGCACAACCCACCGCTCAACGCCTGAGAAGTTCCTGGCATTCTCCACCCGCCATCCAGCAGCCTGGCGCTGGAGTCCAGCATCACAACGTGGGCATTTGATGAGAAAACCTCCCGGAGTACACCGATGGCCTGATGTTGTACCTGTACGGTACCTGGTACCCCGTACCCCAAGCTTCGTGGTCGCAACCAGGCAAAGGGAACTTCAAAAACCTAGTCGGGCGCTGCTGTAATTTGCGGAGTGTTGAGTTAAGTTCAGTTCCTTACAATTGAAATTGGCTGATGTGTTGATGGAACTTTTGATGGATATTGATGGATACACTGATGGATACATATTTATATAATATAGGAACGTTCCTGTCTCCAACCGCTGTTGTTGCTTTGAGCTCCTCCCAGTCGCGAGGACTGGGTGCTGCCAGGTGACCATCGCGCGGGCGATCTGCTGGACCATCTGCGAGGGCGGTGTGCCTCCGGAAGCGCCCAAGACCGACGGATGGGGAAGACCATCCGTGGAACACCACCTCCCCCCTCTCACAAAGGAGAGGTGGTAGGTACCTGCCAAAAACCGCCTGCCCAAGCGCCATTGCACAGGGTGGTTCCAGATGCTGCAGGACGGGGAGTTGTGTTCCATCAACAGCACCAGTGGGCGAAGAATGTTGGCTTTGGAGAAGAACTCCACTGCGACGAGCGTGATTTGACCTGCTCTTGGCCTGAATGTGTCCAACCAACAACGACCAATCACCAGTCCCAATGGGACTAAAAACACCGCCGCTGGGACATGGGTTTGGACATAGTTGCGGTCTCCATTTCTGCACCAAAGCCTTGCAATCTCCGCAAAACCACCGAGAGCAGCTGCCACCTCCCCAACGCAAAAGAACCTGTTGCCTGCCATGCCCTACTCCCCGCCGTTTCGCACGTGAATAACCCGTCTTCGCACCTGTGGTCGCTGTTTTCTGCGGCGCTTGGATGGAATGAATCACTGCGCGGTTCTCAGTGGCCTCGAGTGATGTGAGGAGCAGCTGTCCCGCAGTTCCGAAGGAGAAAACAACGGCAGCGGGATTTGGAGGGGACCTCTGAGCCGCATCCGGGCGGCTGTGGATCTGGCTTTGCAAGGAAAAAACAGTGGACCCTAAAAGCAACTTGGATGAGACAGAAAAAGATAGAAAAAGCAAACCCATTGTTGGTGTTTGAGCCACACCAGAAGTGAGTCGTGGCACGTTGCGCCAATCTTCAGAAGTGAACCACACCAGGACAAATGAGAAACATAATATTGAGATCAGGGTAGTGCATTCATGATTAAAAAAAAAAACATGTGGGAAGAAAAGGGACACATGCCAGGGGTTTCGGAGATAGCGGCCGGTCCAAAATACCCCAGGCCAATGTGCATGCCCCGGGCTCATGAGTTTCTGAGGACACAAGTTAAGAAATGTTCAAAGGCACTTGGCAACTTGGTCAGTCTCGGATCTGAATCACAAAACCAAAGAAAAGCGACCCAACTCTTGGGCTAGTTTCTGCCATTGACTCTTGCATCATTCACGCAGGCTACTGCTGTTTCTGCTTGGGGCTCCCACCGTGCTGATCTCCCAGCCTTTGGCCTCAGGTAACCCCTGAAGAACCTGTCGGCTAATCTTCGATTCCTATACCCTATGAACCAAAGTATGCTCGTTAAACTCGTTCATAACAAATTCGTTCACATGAACGTACTTCACGTGGTTGAAAGGTCGCACTTTAATTACTTCTCAGCAACCACCTGCAAAATAGTACTAGGAGTGATCGTGGAGTAAAAGTTTATATACTAGTGAATCAACAGACCCCGATTAGAGACTAGTTAAACTATGTTAAACTTGCTTAGTGACTGGAAAAACTGGGTGTGTACCGTACCGTGAAACACCCGTGAAGCACAATGTCAGCTTTCTGCAATCGATGATCCGAGGAAGTCGGAAGTGTACAAAAAGTGATCGGAGAGCGGGTGTGCAAAGTCATGCAGTGAGAAGTCGTTCTTATGGATGTGTACTCGTTAAACTATGTCAAACTGGGTTCGCAGGGTATAGTGACTGAAAGTGGCCGCAAGCCAGCTAGAGGTTGAACATGATCTTCAAGTGATTTCTCCGGTCAGCCAATAAAAACCTTTAATATAATTGAAACAATATATGTATCACATAATACTGAACATCCTGATTGATCCTGCGCCACACTTTTTCCCTATGAAATAGTGGGATGTCTTCCATAGTGTCTTCCATCAACGGTAACTATACATGTAGTAACTACCAATCCCCGTGCTTACTGCCAGAAAAGCTTCTGAACGGCCATTTCTGAACGGCCATGTTCGATGGTTCATGTTCTGACCCGTGGGTCACGTGACCAACAAGTCAACAAAATGCTGGACAGAGTGCACTATCATCTATACAAATCTATACAATTAAAAATAAAGCCTCAGGATGCCATTTTGAAAGTGCAAAGGAGGATATGACCATCAGTCCTCACCTGGGATCAAAACCCCAGTTCTTTTATTTTCCGGAAGCTTGACGTTTGTCCTCAGGCTCCGCGCCACCGCGTCAGCGGTCTTCGCGGTCTCCGCCGCCACTGCGTTGGCTGTGCTTGGTTCAGGTGGGCCTCTCCAGTCGAGTGTGGGACATGGTCGGTGAGTTTGTGGCGTCTGGAGGCTCATGCAGGTCCACTAGACCAGCACGACCAATCCTCTCCTCTCATGTTAAAGCACCAAGAGAGGCTTTGGTCGTAAATCTTGCAGAATGGCCTGGCTCTCGCGTCCTGGCCACCACAAATAGAAACCAACGCATCCAACTCCCCTGCAGCGCCTCCCAAAGCTTTGAGCACTGCTTTTTCGATCGCTTGTGTCACGTTCTGAGCGTGGTGGGCCTAGATCAAAGCGAGCTTCAAAAGCGTCAAGAAGTGGCAGAAAAGCCTGATTCCCCCGAAACGATCACTGATTGGTTGGACACATGGATGCATTTCATGCCGGAGAAAAACACCTGAAACCACTCGGGCGTCCTTTTGCTTGGGGTAGTGCCTCAAATATGTTTGCAGTGGGGCTTTCTTGCACGTGTGACATCACCATGATTCTCTTTATCACAGTTCTCAATCTGCCAAAAGCTGACTCTGGAGCAGGGCTGCTGGCAGGTTCAACCCCAAGGTTCGTTCTACGGCACATGACATGGCAGTGAACCCGTACCGAGGTTTATGTATGGCCCATATTACCTGCAAAAGTCCAGTTCATCTTTCCTGAAGACCCCTAAAAACTCAAGCCGAAAACACCTACCACTACTCAAGCCTATCGGACATGGACTCACGAGAACTTGGACCCTCCACTGAAAGGCCACGATACAAGAGGACCCCCCGTCCAGATCGTTTCCAACCGACGGCCATTTACGGTCCAACATGGTCCAACCTGGTCCAGCATCTGGAAACCCCCCAAAAATAGGGATGGGCAGCCTGCAAGATCGCCATGTGTGAAGCATCCTAGCTGAATCTCCTGCATCCTCCGTTTTCGATGTTTCGGCACTCATCTCACTCCTTCGTGCGCGCGCGCGCGGATCGTGGGATCGGTCGGGAGAGGAAAAGTGATCCCACCTGGGCCTGTAAGCCAGCGGTGATGCCAGCGACATAGGCCGAGGCGTCCTACGGACAGATGACAGGAGGATTGGAGCTGATTGGGGCTGATTGGGGCTGATTGCAGCACCTGAGAAGAGGCCCGAGAGCTTCGGAGTTCAGGATTCTCAGGATTCCGGGCAACGAACCGTCGCAGTTGGTTCCGGCCTTGCGCTGGGATTCATCCCAAGCAGAGGTGGCCACAATGGCTGGCCAAGCTGCCTGGTGGGCCGCCTGCCGCAAGCCAGCAAGTCCCGCCGCAAATTCCCTGAAAAATATCCCTCACAGTAGTCATACAGCGGTCCTCTTAGAAATAGATGCAGTGTCCCATAGGCACCTCCTTTCTATAGCTACATTTTAGGGGCCGAGCCAGGAGCTGCACTCACTGCTTGTGACGCAGGGGATGTTTCTGGGCGATGCCCTTAGGAGCAGGCATCCCAGCACGATCATCAATGGGCCTGGTGTATGCGAAGTCCGGCAACAAAAACGTTGAATCAGTTCAAGCCAGAGCTTTTGGGGCGAACATTTCCCCCATTTGGTTCCCAACAATCTGACCCCAAAACTCACAGGTTCCAATATGGTGGTTCTGCCGGGCAGGGTTGGCTTGCCTAGTGTCATGGGCAAATCCCTACCAGCCTCCTCCGCCGCCGAAGCCGAAGCAGCTGAGCTGGCCGCGAAGCTGACTGCAAGGCAGCGGAGAGCAGCCTAGGGAATCATGAGAACTACCCGGCTGCAACCAAGCCCCTTTGTGGCTTGACCTGCCATCAGTGATACAGTGCAACTGACAGATGGTTTTCTGATCGTGGCAATGTCCGACATGTTCTTTTGCCGTTGCACATCGGTGAATGTGGAAACACAAGGATGCTCAAAAGGCATGAATTATATGCAAATGATCACGTTTGATGATCTTTGATTGGTTTAGGTTTAGATGGATCATGCACTGCGGGATTTCTAAAAATTATACAGTATTAAAACAGGTGAATGCACGTGATATCAAATGACCTTGGACTAATACCAAAACACTCCATGGGACTATCATATATGCCGCCCCATTGACCCCCAAAACCACCCTAACTG